TTTTACCGCGTATTGGTTTACTGAATAAAATAAACATCAGGTCTCGAAATAGTAATTCCTTCACAATCACAATATTTATTTATTAAAACGTGGAATGTAAAATTAAACTAAAAATACATATTTTCACCACTGCGATTTTCTTTTAAAAAGGCTCGATTTCAAGTAAATTTAGGTATAACATCGGTATTAAAAAAATAAACTCCTTCACTGTACTTAATGTTTTGAACTAAATTTAAACAGTTTATAAAATTAGGTCACTCTAGAAATATTGGAGAAAAAAAAATTCTTTTTTTAGTAAAATATTCCTTAACACTTAAATGGTGTCTCTTTTAGATCCCTTTTTCACCCGTAAATTACATAACGCTATAAATGTTACAATTTTTAAGCTCTAATATTTAGTGAAATCAATATTACTATCTAAAAGAAATACCGATTGCCAAGTATCGATACTTCTTTAAGGCAATGGGATACCTGCAAGTGACGTAGTGTGCGTATCTAAATCCTGATTGGTTGTTGAAACGTGGCAATTGTTCTCTCCATTCTGTTTCGAGTAAGCCAAGTCAGTCATGCATCAATTCTCTTAAGTGACACCTTCTATATCCTTTCGCAAAGATTTCAATTCTTTCACTGGCAAGAAACCATGCAGAACATAAACAAACTATTTATTCATCGAAGTTGCCAGGCTCACAAAACAAGAAGGTTATAATAAAATACATATACAAATATTAAATCTATGTGAAATAAAAGACGTAGACTAAAAAGAATTATATTTTAACAAGTTCAATGTGCGATACTGCGTTGTCATTAATTAACATCAAGTTAATTAAAATTCTTACCTAGATATTCTGAAGAAACTTAGCTCAACTTTAACACGCCATCTTGTTTTAAAACGATCAGCTCGAGCTGAGGCCATAGGTCACGTGTTTATGAATCAGTAATTGTCTTCTTCTCGAATTGCAAGTACCCGATTATTGAGTAGCCGTTTTTAAGTATATGTGAACTTTTACTCGTGAATTTGCATGTTCAAGCATTCTTTCATGCTTGATAATTCATTCAGTAGTTAAAACCTTTTCCTCATCTTTAATTATTAATAGGAATTAAACCTTATTTTTTTGTAAGTTTTAAAAACCGCATATTATTTCATCACTTTTGAAACACATTCTAAAATTTAAAACATATTTGATCACAACGAGTCCTATTTGCATACAAAATATAGTCGTTTTTTTTAATCAAAATCATCGCCATTGAATTGTCTCATATTAGGCGTTACGTTAATGAGCAAAGTAACTTAACACTATAATTTAGAACTTACTCAAGTTAAAAGACAATTATGCATTGAATTATGAGTATCATTATTATGGTATTATTCATTGCATTCTTTAATGATAAGTTAAAGGCTTGAATGAATGAACTATTGACTAAATCGATTTTCAATAATTACTGAACTGGATTCGTTGTAATGACCCACGAGTTTTTCTTTTCTTTCAAGGCTAGATAAAAAGAGATAATATAAAGCCCTTTATGAGATTTTAATAGATCAGCATTATTAACGAATGATTGTGTATGAATCATCATAAGTGTAAAATAAACGATACATTAATGACCGTTTTAGTTATCAAATTTATCTTCACTAACGGATGAAATAGTATAACAGCTATCGTAGTTGAACAGTGTAGAATATTGATGCTTGCTGATTTATGCCATTTAAATGAAATAGTTTAGTTTTTTTTTACGTGAAATAATGGTATTTTTAGAATTTCTTACACCTACCATTGAAATGAAATGGTTTTAATTTATTTTATGCTGAATATTGGTACTTTTAGCACTTGCTCATTTATGGCATTTAACCGAAGCTACTTAACATTAGTTTCATGTCGAATTTAGATGGTTTTAGCACATGCTCATTCATGGCATTTAAGCAAGGCTACTTAACATTAGTTTCACGTCGAATTTAGATAGTTTCAGCACGTGCTTATTTCATTTATGGCGTTTAAACAAAGCTACTTAACATTAGTTTCATGTCGAATTTAGATGGTTTTAGCACATGCTCATTTCATTTTTTCACATTTAAACAAAGCTACTTAACACTAGTTTCATGTCGAATCTAGATAGTTTTAGCACATGCTCATTTGTGGCATTTAGATGAAATACTTATAATTTATTTCAAGCAGAACATTAATGTCTTTATCATTAGCCATTTCAACGAAATGAATTTATTTCTTTTGGAATATTGATGATTTAAGCATTTGCCATTTAAAAGAAATGGATTTAATTTATTTCTTGTAATTGTTGCTTTTAGAACTAGCAATTTCAACGAAATAAATTTAGTTTGTTTATTATGGAGTATAGATGCTTTGAGCACTTTGTCATTTAAACGAAATGAATTTATTTCTTGTGGAATATCTTGTGGTGTTGTGGCTCTTCAACACGTGCCCATTTATGCCATTTTTCACTGATAGGATTTTAAAACTCTAATATTTATATTTGATAACTTGTTTCAATTATCGTATTTTGTAATAAGACTTTAAAATAAATTTTTATTCATCATTTTAACTAATAAAAGTTTAAAACTATATATCATATGAAAAAAATGCCCTGATTATTTGCGTAAATTACAGACAATTTTACTACAAATAAAAACTAGCACTTACCTGGTTTCTTCCTGTTTTCATGACTAGGCTTATTTTTATCTTTATAGGCAACCAACATAACTTGAAGTTCATGAGTAATTTCTTTAGAATCTATCAATTTTTTCTAAAGAATTCTATTTAAAATAATATTTTTTTTAAAAAAAGCACATTTTATAATGCTAATCATTGAAAGATGAATAAAAAGTCTCATGCTAATATTTTCGATGTGCGAAATAAGTTATTACGAAATAATAAAATAAATAAAAAGTCTTATTAATATTATTCATAATGAATGATTAAAAAATCAATTAGTTCCGAGTTACTATACAGAGTGAATCATAATAGTCACATTTCACCAAATAACGTAATTCACGTTTAATACATATTTTCAGACTCCTTGTTAATAATGAAGTAAAAAAAGTACACACACTAGGGGGTTACAAATTGATATTTAAGGATGAAAAAAAACGATATTGAAAAGTTATAAAAAACGATATTGAAATCTGGTAAAACACCAGTGAGAAGGGCGAGATGAAAAACATTAAAATTCATGTGATGAGTGGCATAGGTTAGTCTACCTATGCCACTCCTCCTGAATTAAACTCTGAGGGGTGACAAAAGATCTCATGTCATGTTTCAGATAATTAAAATTTTATACGTAAATAACGCCAAACTTTAATTTAAGCTGTATTAAATTTCATTATAATTTTATTCCCATGTATCAACTCTAAGGTGTGATGATTAATAATTCTTTTCCCAGGTATCAACTATAAGGTAGGGAGATAAATAATTTTATTTCCTGGTATCAACTCTAAGGTGAGGTAATAAATAAATTTATTCTCAAGTATCAACTCCACGGTATGGTGATAAATAATTTTATTCCCAGGTATCAACTCTAAGGTGTGACGATAATAATTCATTTCGATTCAATTAAATAAATTCATTCATTGGTATAAAATCTGAGTGGTGGGGATAAAGAGCTTTATTTCCAAGTATCAACTCTAAGGTGTGGAGATGGATAATTTTATTCCCATGTATCAATTCTAAGGTGTGGTATTAAATAATTTTTCCCTGATATCAACTATATGGTGTGGGGATAAATAATTATTTTCACAGGCATCAACTCTATGGTGGTAATAAATAATTTTATTTCCAGGTATCAACTTTAAGGTGTGGTGATCCGGATTCCCAATATCCAGACCCCAATGGTATGGTCTCTGAAAATCCTGTCAAACGCGTATACTGAATATGGGGTTGCTCTCCCTTTTGCATCTGTGACAGACTGCTCCAGGGATCACGGAACCGGGCGGGGGGGGGGGAATTAGCCCTCTCGCATTTTATAAATAGACACAGTTCCTTTGAAAATTACTATTTTCAAGTGTAATTAAAAAATATTAATAATTTTTTGTTGGTCTGAATTCTGAAAAATTGACCGCAAGATAAGAAATGGCAAGAACTTGGTAGAACTTGGAACAAGGTAAGAACTTGGGCAGTGGAATGGTAGTTGGAGCCAAACGTATGGAACATTTTATTTCAGAAATTGTTACAGATTTAGTATTCTTAGAATGAATTCTGTAGAATGACTAATAAAAACTTACAGGCGTTCTATATAATGACTAGGCAAATTAAATAATGATTATCCTACTATATACTTTGCCTAAGATCATTTATGAATTGATAGGATGCCTAAGTATTCTATGCAATGACTAGGCGAAGAATATTATAATTCTCATATTTCGTACGCTGTAAGTGTCAGGCATTGTAGACAATGACTAGCAGTGTCTAAACACTCTATATAGTGTCTAACCATTCTATATAGTGTCTAGCCATTCTATATAGTGTCTAGCCATTCTATATAGTGTCGAGGCATTCTGTACAGTGCCTAGGCATTCTATATAGTGTCTAGGCATTCAATACAATGTCTAAGCATTCTATAAAATGCCTAGTCGTATATATTGACTGTAACATACAAATCTGAATTACTAAACGCTTAAAACTTATAAGAGGAACTTGAAAAATTTCTTAATCAACAAGAACACGTGATGTAATTTTAATGAGTTGTTTTCAATGACAGTGACAAACGTGTCGGGGAAACTTGTCAATGGTCGAACAGTCAGTTCTCGAATATGCGAATTTGAAAGGGGAAAAAAAAAAACACTGTATCAACTAAAAAACAGAATCAATGGTCCAAAAAATATTCCTTTCTAATGACTGAAATTGGAATAGAAAGGAAAACGTTCTAAATTCACTCCATTGTTTCTCTCTCTTCTGACTGTGTGTTTAAGTTAAATTCCTTCATCTCCCAGTGTGAAACCCTCTTTTTCTGAGTACCCAACCAGTAAACAAGACGTAAAACGTCGGCATCAGATTCGATCCGGGAGTTCTGAATCTGACCTCTTTTTCACGACGACCCGGTTCCTAAAGAACGTGCTTCAAAAACATCGTTCCTGAGAGGAGATTGAACAAAACAAGTATCGACATTGAACTTGGTGGCTCAGGTTATACGAAAAAGGTGACTGCTGATTTCATTTCGGAAGCAGACACACAAGAAGCAACATGCATTTCTCTTCGCTTAAGGTGAGCCCACTGTTACCTCTTCTTATGTCTACATAGAATCTATGTTGGGGAATTTAAACTCGTCATGAAATGATATCTTTTTAAGGAATTTTTTCTGCTTTCAACATTTAAAGAAACTTTCTATTTACAATTTTATTGTGAAACTAAATTCTTTGTTAAAAGGAATAATTTTTTTGAAGCAATTTTCTGCGGAATAATATAACAAAATATTTTCATTGGAATAATTTCATCATTGTAGGATAACATTCTTTCTTTTTTTTCTTTTTTTAAATAATGTTTCGGAATTTAAGTTCCGTTTTAAGAAACAGTTTTTGAGAGTTTTATGGTAGAATTATATAAATTATTGGAGGAAATTGTTTTTAAATAATTTCATTGTTGAATTAAACCAATTAACATCATTAAACTATTTATTATTTAAATTCCGAATTGATGAATTGAATTTATATGAATTTTTCTGTGGAAAAATATAGAAAACTATTTTTATAGGAATTAAATTCATCATTGTAGCATAACTTCTTTTCAAAAGGAATATTGAGGAATAAAGTTTCCTTTTAAGTAAATTTTTTAAAAGAGTTTTATTGTTGAATAATATAAATCACTATCTATAGAATTGAGTTATTAAAGGAAATTGTTTTCAAGCAATTTTATTGTTGAATTAGACCAATTAGAGTCAGTAAATAAAATATTTTTAATGAATATTTCTGGGGGAATATTTTATATTAAAAACTATTTGTTTAAAAATAAAGTTCATTATTGCAGAATAACTATTTTCTATACAGTACTGCAGAATTAAGTTTTTCTTTAAATGAAATTCGTTTTTAAAAAGTTTTATTGTGGAATAATATAAATGATTTTCTGTAGAATTAATGGTTTTAGGGAAATTATTTTTAAACTATTTTATTGGAAGATTAAATGAGCTAATTTTATTAAACGAAATGCTGTTGTTAATGAAATTTTTTGGTAGAATATTATAAAAAATATTTTCAATTGAAAATGTATTATTCTGTAATTGATGATTTATTCTGTAAAGATGAAAGGTAAAGATATTTTCATTTAATCACTACAGAATAATTTTTTAAAGTAATTAAGTTCCTCTTTAAATAAAATTCTTTTTTAAAAAGTTTTATTGTTGAATAATATAAATAATTTTGCATGGAATTAATTTATTCGAGGAAATTGTTTTCAAATAACTTTATTATGGAATTAAGTTTTTCATTAAATGGAATACTTCACATGAAATAAATAGTTTAAGAAAATACTTTCATTATAATTAGGTTTTCCGTTGCAAAATCTTTTTCAAGTCATATAGTGGAATTAAATTTCTTTTTATCTGAAATTCTTTTTTGAAAGTACAAATGTAGAATAATATAAACCATTTTCCATAAAATTAAATTCATTATAATAAATTTTTTTAATTATATTTATTGCGGAATTACGTGTTCCTTATTAAATGTAATTAATTTTAAAAATTTTTACTGTGGAATTATATGGGTTTTTTCGGGGGGATAATTTTCCTGATAAAACACCCATTTTCAAGCAATATTTTGGAATTATGTTACTCATTATGTAAAACTACTTTCTCCAAAAAATTCTACCGCGAAATATTATAATAACCATTTCTATGCTGATAAATTCTTTATTAAAGGAAATTATTTTAACAATTTTGCTGCGGAATTAACTTCTTCATTAGGCAAAATAATTAATTTTAAAAAAAATTTGCATTGGAGAAATATGTACAAAAAAGTTTGATTGGAATGAAGTTCCTTAAGAAAAATTCCTTTCAAGAATTTACAATGGAATATTATTAATTTTACGGTGGAATAATATTTACTATTTTTCTACGAAATTAAGTTGAGTTACGAAAGAAAATAATCTGTGGCAGTAAGAAACAGATTTAGTTATATTGATTGTTCTTTCAAATTTCATTATTTTAAGGGAAAAAAATAGAAAGAGTCTTCATTTACATTTTACGTGTATTCTTCATACAAAACACTTTCACACATGTTAAAAATTCAATCATTGATTCAATTTTAAACAAATTAATTATTTCAAATACATTGAAAATAATTGTTTTCCGCATGAATAAATCAATTTTATTTTTTTTCTTTCAATAAAATTTATGCTTGGAATTATCCATTTGAATTCATACATATTTTTAAATATCATCGGGGAAAAATATTCAACTTAAGTAAATGAGATATTATGAAAAAATTGAAAAAAAATATATAATGAAAAACGCAAGATTTATTAAATTTAATAGATAGATTTATTATACAGTAACCTATTGTTTAATAAATTTATTATAATAATCTTAAAACTAAAATTCAAATAGTGACATAAGTGCAAACTCCCCGACTATTAAAATATTACTAATAAACGGGTTTTGTTTTCTTTTTAGTTACTACTTAATTTGTGTTATTTAATTTCTGATCAAACTTGTAAACTAATTTTAACTTTTCCAACTTCAAATATTTTTCTTCTAACTTTACTTCTGAATTTTATTCGCATATTTTATTTTTATTTTTGGAAGTGAAAGTTAACGGAAGATTTATTTATAAATATGTAAAAATACATAGTGTAACACAGATTATGTGAATACAGAACTAATTTAAAACTATCTATTGTTAAATTACTTTTATATTATGCGTTTCGAATTTTTCAGAAGAATGTTAACGATTTAAAAACAGAAAAAATATTTTGAATACAGTATTATGCATCATATAGTATAATACTTTATTTACAACTTTCTAAATTAAAGTGCATTTAATTTCTGTTAATTTTAATAGTATAACATGATCATAGTAGTAAAAAGTTGTTAGAAGTGACAGCCTTCTAATAAGTTAAAGGTGAACAAAATTAGGATTATAAATTTCATCATTATAATTTCATCGTTAAAAGATCAATATATAAATCTCCTATCGATCTTCCAAAAAAATATTTAAAAAAAGAAACTGTGGGATATTACTTTAAAAATACGTTACAATTTCAAAGATAATATGATTTGCGCATATCAGATTGTTACTACTTAACTTTTGGAAATTATTAGTTCTAATAAGGTAATTTTTTTAAAAAAAGTATTTAGCTGTAATAAATGCGTATTGTTAAATGCCATGCACGAAATAGTTTGAATATATTACTCAACGAGATACATTTTTAAGAAATTTAAAACCCTAGCGTAAATATATTATTCTCTCAAAAATAATTACTTTAAAAGATATATATTTAATAAGGCTTTAAGATAAATAATAATCGCTTTTATTTATTCTTTAATGATAAATCTTTCGAAATTTTTTTTTATGGAATTACTCATGCAAAAGCTTTGGATAAGAAATTATTTGTTACTGAAAAAAGTGTTATTAGTATTTATGATTTATAGCTTTATTGAGTATTAGTAGTTTAATAATTCTTTTAACCCTATTTCTCGAAGTAAATTAATGAATATTAGTAGTTTAATAATTCTTCTAACCCTATTTCTCGAAGTAAATTAATGAGTATTAGTAGTTTAATAATTCTTTTAACCCTATTTCTCGAAGTAAATCAATGAGTATTAGTAGTTTAATAATTCTTTTATCCACATTTCTCGAAGTAAATCGATGATACTTAATTGTTATCTGGCATACCAAGTGTTTCCGCCGGTAAATCTATGAGGAAATGAAGGAGTGCGAAATATGATTGATCTAACAATAATGTAAGTTTCATTTGTGTGAAAGGGATATTGAATAAGGCTACTGGAAAAAATTGTCTTCATTTTTTTATCAGCATTGATTTAGTGTTCACTGGTGTGGATTAATCATTTAATTATTAAAATCACGAGGTAAACTAACACAATCTGATGAGATACGGACTGCGCAAATTAATTTTTCCTCCGTTAACACTATATATACCTATTTCTATCTTAGCCGATCAAATGACCGAACTTTGTTTCTTTATTGAATGTATGAAATATGGATGGTAGGAAGAAAATAAACTAAAACCTTACATTATAATTAAACAAAATTGTATATTGTCAATTTTTATGTATTACAAACACAAACAGTAATAATTTTTAACTCATTGCGCATATCATAGAAAATTATCCAACTGCGAAGTCTACATAAACGGATTATTGAATTTAGGAAATAATCTTAGTTTGATTTATATGAGAAAACTATTAAGCAGTAACTTATATATTACCGATGAAAGTAGTCTTATATATTATTTTAGTCAGTAACAGTAAATAATAAAACGAAGAGTAAACGAAAAATCTCGAAGTTAATTTTGAAAAATAGATGGGCAGGAAATTTTTTTTCCGGCATGTCAATGAAAAAATGAAGCTATGGAGAGAAAATTCTCTGCGAAACTGCCAAACTGCGACGTTTTTTTCATGAAACGATCTAATGAACACACTAAGAAATATGAATTTTATGTATCGGAAAGATTTATGAATCGAAAACTTATATTTCAGTGACAGAAGTCGTCTGATTTATAACTTATTCTAATCAGTATCAGTTCATAATAATTTAATGAGTTAACTAAAAGTCTCGATGAAAATTTACGCAGATGAGTTGCTTTCTAGCCACGTGCAGGAATCTTCTTCTTTTTTTTTTCAAGCGAGTTTATGAAATAATGAAGCCTTACAGAGAAAATTCTATACGAGATTACAAAACTGGCGACGTCTTCTCTCATAGATTGATTTAATGAATATAAAAAGTAAGATGAATTTTATACGTAGGAAAGATTTGTGAATCAAAAACTTACAGTTTATGGATAGAAGTCATCTGATTTACAATTTATTATTTTAATCAGTATTAGTTTATAATATATTTGATGGATTAACTAAAAACCCCGAAGTGCATTGCGCAAAAAATTTTCAATTCGAGATAGGGTCAAAAGTAACTCAAAAGTAAAATTAATAGTAATAGGTCTAAACTTTGTATTGCTTTCCTGACCAAACTGAGGGGCCATATTTCCTAGACTTACCATTGCCTCCTGTATTTTGGGAGAGAAAAATCCGAATCTGT